TTTATAAAAGGGTTCGTTTTCCTCATCACTACTACTGCTCTCATCCAATGCTATGTCTATGTCTTTGGTCTTGTCTTTCAGATTAAGTTCATTCATATCAACATCTCGTGTGTCGATATTGTCATCACTTCCATCAGACCTATCATCTGATTCGTCATCAGATTCCTCATCATTAGGTTCTTCAACACTCTTCACAACACTTTCACCGATCGGCGGATCAAAGAAGTCATTAAACATGGCTTCCCTTCCATTTAACTCTTCTTCGTCTTCTTCCTCCTCTTCGTCATCTAAATCATTAAAATAGTCGATGTCTTCATCGCTCTCTTCACTCATGAGTTCTTCATTTCCAGACGTCTTCTTCTCCTCTTTTAAGTCCTCGTTGTCTAAGAAGACATGCATTTCATGCAAATTGAAGAACACGTCGTCCACAACAGACTTCGGCATAGGTTTAGACGGTTTAGCATTTGATGGCTTTGTCGTTGTCTCATCTTCTTCTTCTTCATCGTCTTCTTCATCAATAGATTCTTCAGAAAACAGTTCTTCGTTGGCATCAAACGAATCATCGTCTCCTTCATTGACCCCATTGTGCGGAGCAATGGATGGACTGTCACTCGCAGTGGTGTAGACATTGAGTGTCAACGAAGTCTGTTTGGCAGATATATTGGCCACATGTGTGACCAACTTCTGGAGAATGGGTCTGTTCTGGAGTTGGATCTGTTGCCACACCTGCTCGTCATCGAAGCCATCTGTGAACAACTCATTCAGTGATTTCTTAACCGATAATTTGGTCGCCTTTTGAGTGATGTCTTCACTAATCAATCGTTTGTTTAAATCAAACAAACTTTTGGTTAATTCACTCAATTGTTGCCATTTCTGTGAACTCACTCTGAATTGCATTCAAATCACAAATTAGTGTCAATTCGTGTGAAAAGTGATGAAAACTTACTCTAAAAATGAATCCTTTTCTTCGCAATAAGTGTTGAATTTATGGCTTAATTGAGTGAACACTTCGTTATAATTGTTTGAATCCATCACTTGTTGTGAATTCAATTGACAAACCATTCATTTAATCGTCAATTCAATTGAAACGCTAAACAACAACACGTTTTGCATTGCATTGCAGACTGTGTTCACATGCTTTACTTTTTTGAACCATTCATAGACAACGTGCTTTCATATTTGATACAAATTTACAGAATATTATATGATATACAGAATAATTTGAGTGCTTCACTCAACCTGGCTATATCTAACCTATTTGCAAACTGTAGTGTATTCATAGTATTCATTTCATATATTACCTGATAAATTCTGTCTACAAAATGGTTAAGCCAATAATTTCAATACAGAATTATACTAACAAGTTAGAACTTTTAATATAATCAATTTCATTGCGATTCCTACAATTATTAAT